GATAGATAGATAGATAGATAGATAGATAGATAGATAGATAGATAGATCTCAGTGCCATTCACTTAAGTTTTCTTTAGTCTTTTTAGCAAAGTACTGATCAACCCTTAGCCTCAAACTTCTTTGCCAACAGCTGAAGAATTTATGGTCTGTAAACATAATATGATGGCTCCCTGGACACGCAGCCCCTTTATCAACAGGAAGGAGCTTTGAATTGAATTTTAAGCCAATATCCTTGTTTTTTCTGCCTCCATGGTCCTGGTAAACTATAACTAGTCATGTGCATGATGTGTTGAAGTCCACCCTTCAGAGTTTTTCATTCCTGGTGTCCAGTTTTCAGGCTACTGAAATGGGCCTGGGCCTCACTTGAGAAGTTCCTGGCAGAGCAGTTTGGGGGGAATAAGTGTCGGGCACTCTGAGCCATGTGTTTCTTACCCTAAAAGTCACTGCTAGCAAATAATATAGAAGTACTATTTTGAGAGAGAGAGAGAGAGAGAGAGAGAGAGAGAGAGAGAGAGAGAGAGATTGATTTGCTATGACAAGATGGTATGTCAGGGGCTAGATTTACTCCCTTCCCTGGACATTAGGCAAAGAAGGAGAGAGACATGAAGAGCCAAAACTCTTATGATTGCCTAACTCACTGCCTTAACAGTTCCCAGAACCCAGAGCAGGGAGAAGCCACGCAGGTGGGATCTGTCGTCTCCCTGAACTGATCCAAGAGCAAGGAGTTTACAGGCCCAGAAGTAGATGAATAGAGAGTGCACTTAGTAGGTCTGCAAGGGAATCTCCTGACATTTTCAGCAGAGGACTGATAAGTGTGCCTGCATGAGGAACTCAGACAGCAGAAAAGGGTTGTAATGAGCGCACAGAAGCCAAGAAGACTCCTTGTCCCACTAACTCAACTAGAAAGTCCTCAAAATCCAGTCATTGATAGAGCATCCAATGAGGTCTTGGCTCAACAGCCAAGAAAAATTATCTCTGAACTAAGCTCTGCCCTAGACCTGGGGGCAACTTTTACAACCAGGCTCCCAAAGGGCAGCCCTGATTCAGTTGTTCAGTAGGTTTCAAAAATTCAAATAGGCCTGGATGGCTTTAAAATAAACAAACAAAAAACTTTTGTGTGCGCCTTTTGCGTTATTTTGTACTTCTTTTCCTTTAAAATTATAGTTATTGGGGCTGGAGAGACGGGTCGCCAGTTAAGAGCATGCACTGTACTTCCCTAGGACCAGAGCTTAGTTTCAAGAATGCCCACTTCATGCAGCGCACAACTGCCTGAAATTCCAGAGCCAGGGGGATCCAACTCCTCTAGCCTTTTTGGATAACTACAGTAATGTACACAGACTCACACAAAACAGATGATCTTTAAAAATATAAAGTTAGCAAAAGTAAGGCTTGAGATTTTATTTTTGTTTGTTTGTTTCAGGTTTTTTTTGGTAGCTCAGGGTGGTCTTGAACTTGTTATGTAGCTAAGGCTAGCCTACTACCCTTGATTCTCAGATTCTGTACTTACAGAATGCTGGAATTATAGGCACGTGCTAACATGCCCAGTAAAAGGTGCTCGCTGTAGTTTAGCACTTAACCTGATGGAATTCTCATGTGCTGCCTGTGGCTTCACGGTGTAGGACACAGTGTTCTCCATTAGGGGGTTCTCTAAGATTAGGAAACACGCCAGTCAATGCGCTTTAAAAATAAACTGTCTGAAAGAGGGAAAATGTGCTAGCTAGGGTTTGCCCGCTAACAACACTCATACCGAAACAAGTGAGTCTTGGTGTCATTTTCAAAAAGTAAGATCTCTTGTGAGCACCTCACTCCTCGTATTCCAGTGTGTACATACCGAGTACGCTTACTGTTACTACTCCTTTTTTTATTTAAATATTTATTTTTAAATTCCCCAGTGACTTTTTTTAATTTAA